CTCTTTTGACGATTCCCCCATGGAAAGCCTAAACTCCCCAGGGAGCAGAAAGGGGATGGTATGGGGGATGAGTTGGGGGTATGGAAGGAAGGGAGGAAGAAGGAACTGAGATTGATATGCAAAACAAGATTGTTTCTAATTTAAATTAAAAAATAAAATAAACCCTAACTGTATAAGTGTTTTGTTTCTTGTCAATTGCCAATATATAATTTTTCTTATTTGAAATAGATAAATAATAGAATCTGAAATAATTGAAGCAACACATTGCCTTCAAAAATTCATTGATAACTAGTACTATTAGTTCAATGCTTCTAGCTAGGCTAGAGAGTACAGGGTTTAAGGTTCATTCATTAAAAAAAGAGACTAAAATCTGAGACCCACTACACATTGGTTTGAGGATAAACCTTCTTTATCATCTGAAATATAAATATATGGATTCTTGATCTTTTCTAACACTCTACCCAAGAGCAACTGAATGCTAAGTATTTCAAGAAAAAAATTGTTCCTTTTTCTTATGTAGTAGCAGATGAAGAAATCCTGTGGTCAGGAACCCATACCTCACACACCCTGTGGGGCTTACTCTCTCACAAGTATCCGTTGTGAAAGCACAGGGACAGGAAGCTAAAGGGGCTGAGGCTATAACAGCCTTGTGCCCACACAGGACACCACCTTCCTGTGTGTTGGTGAGTCCTGAAATGAAAGCGGGTTAGTAAAGAAGACAGGACTCCCACCAGAGCTAGACCAGCTCTTAACATGAAGACTAGGTGATTTTAGTGGCAGTCAATTATAGTCTAATATCTTGGCTAGGCAGGGAGTGAAGGGTGGCCACAACTTCTAGAAGAAAGAGGAACAGAGTGAAAAATATAATGATTCCCCCTTCATCCATGTGCACGGATCCTCCCCCTTTCACTTCTTCAGGTCCTTTTTTCATAACAATTTTCTGTGAATTGAGCCATTCTTGACCCAAAGTGGGAGGTAGAGAGGCAAGGGATACCCAAGAGGGAAAACAAACTTCACATGTCCTAGAAAGCTGAAAATGACAAGATGCTATCACCCTTTCCCAGAACTGTAGGAACAGTAAGCAACTGGGTTCCCTGGGCTCCAAGAGATTTCTCAGACCTGTTGAGGTACCTGAAAATTGTTCAGTTAGCTCCAGGATTTCTGGTTTGAGAATAAGCACCCATGTTGAGCAGTGCTTTCAGTAAATGCTTTTGAGTCATCCCTTGCTTGTACAATAAACTCCTTACCCATACAACTGCTAATAACTTTGATTATATTAACTCATTGTTTCACAAAGTTGGATTTTAATACAATCATCCCCTGGTCTGTCGTGGATTTCCTTTCTAGGGTGAGCAGATTTGTATGTGTTGTACCTTACCAAGAAAAGTCTCACTATAGGCTCATTTTCAAATGGTGGGTGTGAAAGACTGTAAATGCTCCTCAACTACCTCATATACATGCTATATCTTTCTATGCTAAGATATGTTGCTTGAAATTTTCAGTAAGTAGTTAATAATGAACTATATTTGGTCATTAAAAATTGAAAGGGACAAAATCTCCTGAGCAAATTGGGAGCACTGTAGGAGGGGGGAGGGAGCTAGGAAAATGAGAAGGGAAGACGAGGAGGAATGCAGAGGACTTGAGGGAGCAGAAAGGTTGAGTCAGGGGAAGAATAGAAGATAACAAGAATGGAGATACCATAATAGAGGGAGACATTTTAGGTTTAAAGAGAAGTCAGGCACTCGGGAAATGTCTGGAGATCTACAAAGATGACATCAGCTAACAATCTAAGCAACAGAGGAGAGGCTACCTTAAATGCCCTCTCCTGATAATGAGATTGATGACTGACTTATATGCCACCCAATAGCCCTCATCCAGCAGCTGGTGGAAGTAGAAGCAGACACCCATAACTAAACACTGAACTGAACTGGAACCCAGATGTAGAGAAGGACGAGTGAAGAGCAAAGGGGTCCAGACCAGTCTGGTGAAACCCACAGAAACAACTGACCTGAACATCGGGGAACTCTTGCTCCCCAGACTGATAGCTGGGAAACCAGCATGGGACTGATCCAGACCCCAG